CCTGAAAGGCCGCTCAGCAAGGAAGAAGCCACTGCTCCAAAACCACCATAAAAAAGCCAGACTACGGTTTGCAACTGCACATGGGGACAAAGATCGTACTTTTTGGAGAAATATCCTCTGGGCTGATGAAACCAAAAAATAACTGTTTGGCCATAATGACCATTGTTATGTTTGGAGGAAAAAGGGGGCGGCTTGCAAGCAGAAGAACACCATCCCAACCGTGAAGCACGGGGGTGGCAGCATCATGCTGTGGGGGTACTTTGCTGCAGGAGGGACTGGTGCACTTCACAAAATAGATGGCATCATGAGGAAGGAAAATTATGTGGATATATTGAAGCAACATCGCAAGACATCAGTCAGGAAGTTAAAGCTTGGTCGCAAATGGGTCAAATGGACAATGACCCCAAGCATACTTCCAAAGTTGTGGCAAAATGGCTTAAGGACAACAAAGTCAAGGTATTGGAGTGGCCATCACAAAGCCCTGACCTCAATCCTATAGAAAATGTGTGGGCAGAACTGAAAAAGCATGTGCGAGCAGGGAGGCCTACAAACCTGACTCAGTTACACCAGCTCTGTCAGGAGGAATGGGCCAAAATTCACCCAACTTATTGTGGGAAGCTTGTGAAAGGCTACCCGAAACATTTGACCCAAGTTAAAACAATTTAAAGGCAATGCTACCAAATACTAATTGAGTGTATGTAAACTTCTGACCCACTGGGAATGTGGTGAAAGAAATAAAAGCTGAAATAAATCATTCTCTCTACTATTATTCTGACATTTCACATTCTTAAAATAAAGTGGTGATCCTAACTGACCTAAGACAGGGAATTTTTACTAGGATTAAATGTCAGGAATTGTGAAAAACTGAGTTTAAATGTATTTGGCTAAGGTGTATGTAAACTTCCGACTTCAACTGTATACACACTACCAGTCAAACATTTTAGAACACCTACTCATTCAAGGGGTTTTCTTTATTTTTACTATTGTCTACATTGTAGAATAATATTGAAGACATCAAAACTATGAAATAACACATATGGAATCATGTAGTAACCAAGAAAGTGTTAAACAAATCAAAATATATTTTATATTTGAGATTCTTCAAATAGCCACCCTTTGCCTTGATGACAGCTTTGCACACGCTTGGCATTCTCTCAACCAGCTTCATGAGGTAGTCACCTGGAATGCATTTCAATTAACAGGTGTGCCTTCTTAAAAGTTAATTTGTGGAATCTTAATGCATTTGAGGCAATCAGTTGTGTTGTGACAAGGTAGGGAGGGTATACAGAAGATAGCCCTATTTGGTAGAAGACCAAGTCCATTTTATGAAACGACAGACCATCATTACTTTAAGACATGAAGGTCAGTCAATACGGAACATTTCAAGAACTTTGAACGTTCCTTCAAGTGCAGTCGCAAAAACCATCAAGCGCTATGATGAAACTGGCTCTCATGAAGACCGCCACAGGAATGGAAGACCCAGAGTTACCTATCTCTGCTGCAGAGGATAAGTTCATTAGAGTTACCAGCCTCAGAAATTGCAGCCCAAATAAATGCTTCACAGAGTTCAAGTAACAGACACATCTCAACATCAACTGTTCAGAGGAGACTGTGTGAATCAGGCCTTCATGGTCAAATTGCTGCAAAGAAACCACTACTAAAGGACACCAATAAGAAGAAGAGACTTGCTTGGGCCAAGAAACACGAGCAATGGACATTAGACCGGTGTAAATGTGTCCTTTGGTCTGGAGTCCAAATGTGAGATTTTTGGTTCCAACCGCCGTGTCTTTGTGAGACGCGGTGTGGGTGAACGGATGATCTCCGCATGTGTATTTCCCACCGTAAAGCATGGAGGAGGAGGTGTTATGGTGTGAGGGTGCTTTGCTGGTGACACTGTCTGTGATTTATTTAGAATTCAAGGCACACTTAACCAACATGGCTACCACAGCATTCTGCAGCGATACGCCATCCTATCGGATTTGGGCTTAGTGGGACTATCATTTGATTTTCAACAGGACAATGACCCAACACACCTCCAGGCTGTGTAAGGGCTATTTTACCAAGAAGGAGAGTGATGGACTGCTGCATCAGATGACTTGGCCTCCACAATCCCCCGACCTCAACCAAATTGAGATGGTTTGGGATGAGTCGGATGGCAGAGTGAAGGAAAAGCAGCCAACAAGTGCTCAGCATATGTGGGAAGTCCTTCAAGACCGTTGGAAAAGCATTCCAGGTGAAGCTGGTTTAGAGAATGCCAAGAGTGTGCAAAGCTGTCATCAAGGCAAAGGGTGGCTATTTGAAGAATCTCAAATATAAAATATATTTTGATTGGTTTATCACTTTTTTGGTTACTAGATGATTCCATATGTGTTATTTCATAGTTTTGATGTTTTGATGTCTACAATGTAGAAAATAGTAAAAATAAAGAAAAACCCTTGAATGAGTAGGTGTTCTTAAACTTTTGACCGGTAGTGTATCTTCGAACTGATGTACAATTCATTTGCCATGCCACCTCCTTTTCATTACTCTGGCACGTTTTGGTAACGAAGTAACAAAGTATATAATCTAAAACAGTCGCTGGTAATGAATAGCTTAATTAAATCGCACACTCGAATCAGACACCTTTCAAGGCATCACAATGCTTCTCACAAGGCTTCGAGTTATGCCCAAACTCCCTGCGAGCTTAGTGAATACTCCCTTTGGTTAACAAGTTCATTTAGAATTGTTAGCACTCTTTTATAAAACTGATTATAAAGTATGTTTTGACGTTGCATGTCACCTTATAGAAAGGCGACTATAAGAAAGGTTTGGGTGTAGATTGCTCTACAGGATAAAGTAAGATCATTCATGACGTGCTCTAGACACTCTTTGATTGTTCTGTAAGTTTAGAGGTTTGTGTTGCTAATTTCTTTATTGCATGAAAGCCGCTTTTCTCACTCATTTTGAGAACTGAGGTGTGTGTAATTTCTATTTTTTTTTATGCCCTGATCTGATCCAGCACAAAAGATATTCAGTTCTTTATGAGTAGGTTTTGATTAAAAGTCAGACTTCCCCACCATTAATGTTAAAACAATGTAGCTTTACTCTTAAGTTATTTCCTGTGCTTCCTCGGGTGTTTACTGACTAATAAGCAAACAACTCATCAGCATCATTATTTCCTGTCTAGAGATGCCCATAAAAAATGGTGCCCTCATTTCCCCTGGACTGTTTATATGTTATGACACAGCGAGTGTCTAAACAGAGCACTGCTATGTAACAGCTGGTCCACCTGTCAGACTGGAGCTGTCTCACACTGAGAGCATACATCTGACATCTATATAGGCCTATCCTCAATTTGCACTGTTACAAAATAGATTTGTTGTCCCCAATGATGACATTGTGGAGAGACTGTGGATCGGTCTCCATCCGTCTGTTCGTTCGTACGTTAATCACACGTGATATCTCAGACAGCACTGGCCCGATTTTGATTAAACTTGCCATAGAGATCCGGCATTTACAAAATTACATTGATTGGCCCAAGGCATGAGCTATAGTAATTGACTTACATTTGTGAGTCACACCAGAGAGGAAGAGGCGAAGCGAGAGGGATAATTGGGCCCAAAATCTGTCTTCTCCAGCAGGTGGCGTTTTTTCCGTTCACCAAGCAAGGAGTTTTTGTATGAAGGTCAATGAGAGAGTATCAAATTTGGTTAAAGGAAATGTTCTAAAATGTTCTACTTCATAATCATCATTTCCAGCACCACACCAACATCAACATATTTTAAAATGGAGAGTTTCTATGTTTTGTAGTAAGAAAGATAGAGGAAAATAAGTGTTTCCAATGATATCGTTAGTGTGCGTCGTGTGATTTTAACCAATTATGAGTAGGCATTGCCTACTAATTGTCTACTAATTGGTTGATGATGTCATTGAAAACACATCTCCCTCTATCTTTTTTACTACAAATCATAGAAATGCGCCATTTTCACATATGTTGATGTTGGGGTGGTGCTGGACATGAATATAAAGTTTTCAAAATGTATTTAACAAAATATGTAATGGCTTATTTGCCACGTGGCTTATTTGATCGAATATACGTTTCATAATGATTAGGTTGTTACGAGTGTACTGACATAAATAGGACATGTGACATCCCGGCAACTTTCAGAAAAAACACTTTATGTCAGTGTTGTGCCTGTTGTTCACAAGCGTATCTGCCCTCTCATTGGCTAGAATGGTCCCACCTGATCTTGCCTCCTCCCGACTGCCTTCTAGTCTGAGTACCTGTCTCTTTAGCTAACATTCCACTCCTTGCCACTCCTTGTCATTGCCAAAGAGTCTTTGGCACGTGACATGGAGTACAGGGACTGGATTCGCTAAAGAGACTGGTACCCAGGCTAACTGCCTTCCGTTTTTGAAGACATTTATTTTCATTGTTAGAGTAGCCACTTGAGTATCTGGTCAATATAATGTATAATCTGTGGTCACACACGATAACAGAAATGTGTAAATTACACCCATCTACAAATTACACCCATGTACAAAGCACCCAAAGTACATTTAACAGTATTCTTTACTGTACATACAGTATCTGTCTTGTTATACACTTGACTTGATGTATTTCTCTGTATGTCTTGTCCTCCCGAGTGGCGCAGTGGACTAAGGCACTAGAGATCCTGGTTCTAATCCAGGCTCTGTCGTAGCTGGCCGCGACCGGGAGACCCATGGGGCGGCGCACAATTGGCCCAGCGTCATCCAGGGTAGGGGAGGGAATGGCCGGCAGGGAAAAATCTCAGTTGGTAGAGCATGGCGTTTGCAACGCCAGGGTTGTGGGTTTGATTCCCACGGGGGGCCAGTATGAAAAAAATTAAATAAAATGATGTATGCACTCACTAACTGTAAGTCGCTCTGGATAAGAGCGTCTGCTAAATGACTAAAATGTAAATGTATGTCTTGACAGGACATTCCAGGACCTGTCCAGGCAGATGGACGTATCCTACGGCACCGTGAGAGACTCAGCCGTCTACGACTACTTCAAGAACAAGGGCACCAACCCTCTGGAGCAGGACAGCACATTCGCAGAGCTGTGGAGGACCATCAGTAAGAACAACGGCCGTGATTACTCTGTGTCCAGTCCCTCAGAGGGCATCCGCAAGGTATGTTAACAAAGACAAGACAGGTATATACAGAGAGGATTCCAGAGTACAGGCTGGCAATCACTTTAGGTTGTTTTGCTTAGCTACTGTGGATGTCGACGAAAAGAGAAAACGGTTTAATATTTGGCGAAAAAACCTAATAATCAATCTTTCCATTGTCGTTTCACTGTAATTCAACAGTATGGAGTCATACTGTTCACGCTCAATAGTGTGCCTGTAGCTCCAAAGTATTTAAAACCAATTAGACAGGCAAATTCAACATTGTCTTTGACTATCTATCAGTCTGAATAAACTGCAAGTGCTGTTTTGTGACATTTGTACCAATTACACTGGTTAATCTCATAAACTGCCTGTAATAAATAGCTAAGGAAGAACAGTACTTTGCCTGCCAATATGCTAAGACGTAATATGACATATGTCTTCGAATTCGGTCTGTGTACACATTTTAATTAGCATTCTTGCATTATATTTTATTTTCTCCAATGCAGTCAATTTCAATTAGCTACCAGCAGCCATTTTGACAATCTAGAGGAGAGAAACAGAGGTGCTGTGTTTTCCTGTCACATTTAGTCTTTATACTGCAAAACAAAGCCTTTTTTTTCTCAAACTCAGCCAACTGAGCCTTTTAGCAGAACGGCAGATGTATTTGTGTTAGTCAACAGACAATGTCTGCCTTTGTAGCAGTATGTTGCTGGGTCAGTCCATTGAGGACTAACAACATAAGATGTGCAATAAGAGGTAGCAATTACGTGGAGACAACATCAAAACACACGTCAGATACCTTTTTCTCTGAGTTAAAAGGTTTTTGTATCAAAAGAGCAAGTAAACAAATAGCCCAGTCTACAACGAGAATCAACCTAGAATCAACCTAGAAAAGAAACCTATACAGGAAATGGATTGAAGTACTTCTATTTTACCAAGGTTCTGCATATTCATTAGATACTATATTCACAGTCGTTCCCACATACAGTGCATTCGGAAAGTATTCAGACACCTTCCCTTTTACCAAATGTTGTTACGTTACAGGCTTATTCTAAAATGTATAAAATAAAATAAAATCCTCATCAATCTACACACAATACCCCATAATGACAAAGCGAAAACACATTTTTAGAATGTTTTGCTAATGTATTAAAACTAAATACCTTATTTACATAAGTATTCAGACCTTTTGCTATGAGACTCGAAATGAAACTCAGGTGCATCCTGTTTCCATTGATCATCCTTGAGATAATTCTACAACTTGATTGGAGTCCACCTGTGGTAAATTCAATTGATTGGACATGATTTGGAAAGTCACATACCTGTCTATATAAGGTCCCAAAGTTGAAAGTGCATGTCAGAACAAAAACCAAGCCATGAGGTTGAAGGAATTGTCCGTAGAGCTCCGAGAGGATTGTGTCGAGGCCCAGATCTGGGGAAGGGTACCAAAAAATTTCTGCAGCATTGAAAGTCCTCAAGATCACAGTGGCCTCCATCGTTCTTAAATGGAAGAAGTTTGGAACCACCAAGACTCTTCCTAGAGCTGGTTGTCCGGCCAAACTGAGCAATCGGGGGGAGAAGGGCCTTGGTCAGGGAGGTGACCAAGAACCCGATGGTCACTCTGACAGAGCTCCAGAGTTCCTCTGTGGAGATGGGAGAACCTTCCAGAAGGACAACCATCTCTACAGCACTCCACCAATCAGGCCTTTATGGTAGAGTGGCCAGACGGAAACCATTCCTCAGTAAAAGGCACATGTTAGCCGGCTTGGAGTTTGCCAAAAGGCACCTAAAGGACTCTCAGACCATGATAAATAAGATTCTCTGGTCTGATGAAACCAAGATTGAACTCTTTGGCCTGAATGCCAAGCGTCACGTCTGGAAGAAACCTGGCACCATCCCTACGGTGAAGCATGGTGGTGACAGCATCATGCTGTGGGGATGTTTTTCAGTGGCAGAGTAAAATACAGAGAGATCCTTGATGAAAACCTGCTCCAGAGCGCTCAGGACCTCAGACTGGGGCGAAGGTTCACCTTCCAACAGGACAACGACCCTAAGCACACAGCAAAGACAACGCAGGAGTGGCTTTGGGACAAGTCTCTGAATGTCCTTGAGTAGAGCCCAGACTTGAACCCGATCGAACATCTCTGGAGAGACCTGAAAATAACTGTGCAGCAACACTCCCCATCCAACCTGACAGAGCTTGAGAGGATCTGCAGAGTAGAATGGGAGAAACTCCCTAAATACAGGTGTGCCAAGCTTGTAGGGTCATACCCAAGAAGAGTCGATGCTGTAATTGCTGCCAAACGTGCTTCAACAAAGTACTGAGTAAAGGGTCTGAATACTTATGTAAATGTAATATTTAAGTTTTTTGTATTTAATGAATTTGCAAACATTTCTAAAAACCTGTTTTTGTTTTGTCATTGTGGGGTATTGTGTGTAGATTGATGAGGGGGGAAAAACTATTTAATCCATTTTAGAATAAGGCTGTAACGTAATAAAATGTGGAAAAAGTAAAGGCGTCTGAATACCTTTCCGAATGCACTGTATAGGCCTTCTCCAGGCTCTACATTGACATTTATCATCCTTTAGGTTCTATCATGTAAAACAATGTCATCGTATAGGCAGCATGTATAGCATCTTGATCATTAGCTGGGTCACTGATTGTCATTCCTTTTCAGGCAAAGAAGGGCCCGTATGCCTTCCTGTGGGACATGGCTGTGGTGGAGTACGCCGCACTGACGGACGATGACTGCACCATTACCGTCACAGGAAACAGCATGAGCAGCAAAGGCTACGGCATCGCCATGCAGCATGGGAGTCCCTACAGAGACCTCTTCTCCCAGAAGTGAGCAACACCACCAACCTCATTATACAACATCTATATTGTAACGACCCTGGCGTTGATAAGCATTATTATTACTCCCCCAAAGGGAACTAGCTTTCTTAGAGCAGAGGTAACGTGTGGCTTTGCAAGATCGATTCTGGCCTCGGAACCTTGTGCTACTCCCTCGTTTCATTACAAATTTATGCATTATAGATATACCATCACTTTATCATCAGTTCTAAACAGTATCTTCTACTCCTCACCTCTCCCTCTCCTTTCATCACCCCATCTCTTCCTTCCATCTCCTTCGGGAAATATCCTAAGTCTTAAGTGCATATGGTTTAACGCACACCTACTTTGATCCCTAATTACTTTCTCTGCTTCATAAAAGTCATAAATATAATCACTGATGGTTGACGGTGCCTGAGGGAATTGAGCGCCGTAATTAGCTGAGAGGTCATTCGGTGGTTATACTCATCCATTTTAGGAGGAGTTTGATGAGGGAAACGAAAGGCCCACAGTGTTTTTATAAAATCACTTTGTAGTATAAGCATTAGTACAAATACTCTTTATAAAGGTTAAGACCCAGCTAGTACATAATGTTCTGAGAAACATATGTTTCTTGGTTAGCTTAACGTTCCAGTTGGTAGCTGGTCGGTAGCACTCACTCACGTAGCTGCTAGCACCGTCATGAAAAGGGGTATGAGGGAAGCTCTACAAAAGCCCTACGTTCGGGAGCAGGAAATGTTGAAAAGTAATCTTTAGACATGTTGTACTTTTCTTAAATGTAGTTTTGTAATTGACTAAAACAAGCAGACAACAGGTTGTTTTCCCCACAGGCGGGCAGGGCCATGACGTTCTATCTAATATCGACTGGGATTATCTTGTTAAGTGTGTTCAGGTGTGATATCCTAATTGGCCACACCTGATCTTAATGAGTGCTTGTTTTCTTTGAAATGGGGTCTGTTTGAATAGACTAAAATGAACAGCTTTGTATGCTTAAAACAAACATGACATGCTAGCTCCATCCTGGAGGCGCAGTGGACTCATTTCTCGGATCGAGAACAGAAGATCATAGTTTCAAATCCATCTGATGTTGTGTCACAATAACAAATAAATGTTTTTGAATGATTAATGCCTAAGGAAATTAATTTCCATGTGTCCTATCTGTGCTTCGAGTTCAATAAATATAAAACCAAAATAAATTAGCAGTGGTATTAAAAGTCTTATTGAAATATTCAGTGAAAGTTTTAAGGAAGTTATGTTCGGCAAAATGTTCACTTCTGTTGTCAGAACGTTTAAAAAAACGTTCAGTTTTACCGGTCAGGGAAAGTATGGCTTCGTTCCCACAACCAAGGTGAAACCAAAAACATACTTTCCCACAATATCCAAGGAACCGAATGTGTTAGCTGGGGAGTTACTACAGTTTTGAGGCTGTCATTCACAGAGGCTTAATGCACGATTTTAATGCCCTTCTAATGCAAAGCTGTCTGCATGGTATATATATATACAGTGGGGAGAACAAGTATTTGATACACTGACGATTTTGCAGGCTTTCCTACTTACAAAGCATGTAGAGGTCTGTAATATGTATCATAGGTACACTTCAACTGTGAGAGACGGAATCTAAAACAAAAATCCAGAAAATCACATTGTATGATTTTTAAGTAATTCATTTGCATTTTATTGCATGACATAAGTATTTGATACATCAGAAAAGCAGAACTTAATATTTGGTACAGAAACCTTTGTTTGCAATTACAGAGATCATACGTTTCCTGTAGGTCTTGACCAGGTTTGCACACACTGCAGCAGGGATTTTGGCCCACTCCTCCATACAGACCTTCTCCAGATCCTTCAGGTTTCGGAGCTGTCGCTGGGCAATACAGACTTTCAGCTCCCTCCAAAGATTTTCTATTGGGTTCAGGTCTGGAGACTGGCTAGGCCACTCCAGGACCTTGAGATGCTTCTTACAGAGCCACTCCTTAGTTGCCCTGGCTGTGTGTTTCGGGTCGTTGTCATGCTGGAAGACCCAGCCACGACCCATCTTCAATGCTCTTACTGAGGGAAGGAGGTTGTTGGCCAAGATCTCACGATACATGGCCCCATCCATCCTCCCCTCAATACGGTGCAGTCGTCTTGTCCCCTTTGCAGAAAAGCATCCCCAAAGAATGATGTTTCCACCTCCATGCTTCACGGTTGGGATGGTGTTCTTGGGGTTGTACTCATCCTTCTTCTTCCTCCAAACACGGCGAGTGGAGTTTAGACCAAAAAGCTCTATTTCTGTCTCATCAGACCACATGACCTTCTCCCATTCCTCCTCTGGATCATCCAGATGGTCATTGGCAAACATGCACTGGCTTGAGCAGGGGGACCTTGCGTGCGCTGCAGGATTTTAATCCATGACGGCGTAGTGTGTTACTAATGGTTTTCTTTGAGACTGTGGTCCCAGCTCTCTTCAGGTCATTGACCAGGTCCTGCCGTGTAGTTCTGGGCTGATCCCTCACCTTCCTCATGATCATTGATGCCCCACGAGGTGAGATCTTGCATGGAGCCCCAGACCGAGGGTGATTGACCGTCATCTTGAACTTCTTCCATTTTCTAATAATTGCGCCAACAGTTGTTGCCTTCTCACCAAGCTGATTGACTATTGTCCTGTAGCCATCCCAGCCTTGTGCAGGTCTACAATTTTATCCCTGATGTCCTTAAACAGCTCTCTGGTCTTGGCCATTGTGGAGAGGTTGGAGTCTGTTTGATTGAGTGTGTGGACAGGTGTCTTTTATACAGGTAACGAGTTCAAACAGGTGCAGTTAATACAGGTAATGAGTGGAGAACAGGAGGGCTTCTTAAAGAAAAACTAACAGGTCTGTGAGAGCCGGAATTCTTACTGGTTGGTAGGTGATCAAATACTTATGTCATACAATAAAATGCAAATTAATTACTTAAAAATCATACAATGTGATTTTCTGGATTTTTGTTTTAGATTCCGTCTCTCACCGTTAAAGTGTACCTATGATAAAAATTGCAGACCTCTACATGCTTTGTAAGTATGAAAACCTGCAAAATCGGCAGTGTATCAAATACTTGTTCTCCCCACTGTATATTTACATGGTGTTTCCCCATGCAATTATATATTATCAGACGAATACATTGTAGCACAGTTAGAATATGGTCATATAATGCTATTATTTTGTATTACTTCTCACTAAACCACACTTGATGTGTTTGAATAACAGAGTAGGGGATAATTGCAACTTATCCTTAAGGCAAGTTAAACTTTTTTACTATATCAGCCCAGGTTGCAATCATAAACACGTTTTATGTTCCAGCTGAGTTAAAGAGGAATCATTCAATATGAGGTAATATGATTATGCTAATTACTTCCATGAAAAAGGTTAATATTTGATTGAAATACTTGGGCAATGTCTTCAAACGTTTGAAAATCTTTGGTCTTTTAGTTGCAGTTTTTTCTTCTTTGTATTATCCATTGCAAATTGATCCCTTTGCGAAGATAACAGAAGCCGGCAGAGTTTAGATGCTGATTGTCTAAATCTCTCCATAATCACATGTAACCAATTAGAACTGTGTATTGGACAAGGATATTGGCCAAGGATATCCCCAAAATGAATCCCAAAATCCCTGAGTCTTGACTACATTCCCACATATATTGTATTGATTCTTCTCAGGTATAAGAGTTCCAAAGCATCCGTGAAAACAACCCAAAATATTTAGTCACACTATCTTTTAGTTAAGAAATCTAACTCTGTTCAACTCAGTGAAAATAAACAGTTTCTGTTGTTTGCGATGAGGGCCATCCCAACTCCACAACCAGAATGAATTGCCGTTCTAGTGACTAAAATGCAGGTCTTAGGATAGGGACAATGATATTTCTACAAAGCAAAACCAGTGTCAACCAGCTAGTCATGCTTAGATCAGGTTTGATCTGGGGCTCATGGAAGCCACACACCCACACCTTTGATAAATCACCAGAGGTCAATGCGGTGGAACACTTAAATCTTCTCCAATCTTCCGAGGTGTTCTTCGCCTGATCCCTTCAGAGTGCACATTCAGTATGCAGGGGAAGAGCGGGGTCAGAGCTTAAGCAATGAGGTCCTTCCATGGAAGATCCCATATAATGCCTATCCCCACAACACTGAACTGAACACTGTCCCCTTATCTCTGCTCATGATGGCCTGGATGAATATCTGGCTGGGAAATCCTGGGCTAACAGAATTAGTGGTGGTGGGATGGTAATGTGCTTTGAGGACAGCTGGGATGCTCAGGGGTAATAACAGGCTGAACCAGGATGTCATCTCCTCTACAGAGACAGATTCATCTTACTTGCTACCGTCCCCTGTCCCATCATCATCATCCATTCTCCTCCCGCCCTCCCTCCCTCCGCGCCCTCGTCTATCCATAACCTTACAAATTCACCATGTGCTCCTTTTCATCTCAGAAATGACTGTTTGCCCACAGGGGCGGTACTCTGATAATGGTATTTCCCTCCTCGCCATGGCTCCTTTTCTTTTAATTAAGCAGTTCTTCACTCTTGTTTTATTTTGGATTTAATTTGTGTCTGTGAAGGACTACAAAAGCTGAGGTTTAATGAAGTTTACTGTGGGGGTTTAATTCACTGCGCAGGCATAATTCAACAAATCTCACTAAAACCCCTGTGCTGTGGGAATGGTCACAAATTAATGCTTTAATCTGCAGAAGATTTTTCATTGTTCCTTTAGTGCCATGATAGCATACAAATGGTAATTATAATGGAACTAGGGTCCTATAGTCCTTATTTCTAAAATCCTTTGTTTAACAGCCTTCAAACTTAGTACAACAGTCTGTTTTCAGGAAAGCTTCCTCTCTTGTTGTACTAAGTTTGAAGGCTGTTACACAAAGGGTAACAGGAATAAGGACTTTAGGATCCTCTTACACCCAGATATTTCCCCTCATTGCAGGATCCTGGAGCTGCAGGAGAAAGGAGATCTGGACATCCTGAAGCAGAAGTGGTGGCCGCGTATGGGCCGCTGCGACCTCAACAGCCATTCCAACGCCACGCCAGACGGGCGGTCCCTGAAACTACACAGCTTCGCCGGGGTTTTCTGCGTCCTGGCCGCAGGACTGCTGCTGGCCTGCCTGGTTGCCGGCCTGGAGATGTGGTGGAACAGCAACCGCTGCGGGCAAGAGCAGCCCAAAGAGGTGACCGAGCATAGAGCCCGGAGGCCAGGGCAGCAGGGGGAGGACACTACCACACTCTACTTTAAGGATCTAGTTGCAGACCACAGCCCCGATTTAGTGGAGCTGCAGAACACACAGTTGTAGATTGTGCTCAGATTGAAATACAATTTGGTCCCTCCTATCTATCACCTTCCCATTCTCTGAAACCAAATCCATCTGTTTTTGTATGGTATATGTACCTCACACAGCTCACAAATGAAGACAAATCCCCTTTATCATTTTCTTACTAATATTTCCATCTTGATTATTGGTATTTTTCGGAAACTCTTTGAATTTGAACATATTCATTGATATATGTTAATCACATCAATAAACCCTTTAGCTGCCTTCATGATAACAAACTGCCCAACCAATTGCCTTAAGCAATTCCTGCATTTTTCACAAATCTCTTACTAACATGTAACTGATTTTGAACATTGATGAGCCCAGCTAATTTTTCAATCACATACTTTGTACTGAGTCCTTGTCAAAACGTTTTTAACTGAGCCAAAGTTTTGGCAATTTCAATTAAGCAAGATTCTCTGTAGGGAAATTAATGAACTATGTCCAGATTGCTCGATCAGCAGAGGATTACACTTTCAAAGGGAGATTTTAACACCTTTTGATATTTATTATTTCAGAATAAATCCATTTATCTATTTGATGTCAATTTGAATCAGGCAAATATTAAATATGACATTTCTGAGAAGACGTCAGTATCGATTTTGTTTTAAGTTCCCCGTAAATGTAGTATTCCTGAAATATTCAAAACCCATTGATTACCAAGACAGGTTCCTTACCCTGAACTGTAAACACATTCACACTGCCTACCACAGAGAACACTTTTCATTGATTCTCGTAACACTTTCACCAGATAAGTGCCTGCTAAGCTGATTTACACTGATGACACCTTATGCATCATTGCCAGAACACTTTAAGCCTTTCTTAGGAGTTTAATCCACTCAAGTTACTGCGATGATGTCAACATGTCTAACAACATAGAGATCCTATTAAATTACTATTCTAATTTCTAATTCTATGTCTATCAAGACCTCTCACATGAGTTACTCTCCCCCTGCATGTGACATGAGACAAGTTAAGGCTTGACATGGATCTCTAAACTCAAGTTTGAGCAGAAACTGGACACTTGCATGGGTCTGTCACCCCACAGCAATAAGAGCCACTATATCTGTTCAACCCAGTCCATAATTAAGCAATAAGGCACGAGGGGGTGTGGTATTTTGCCAATATACCACGGCTAAGTGCTGTTCTTATGCACGGCGCAACGCGGAGTGCCTGGATACAGCCCTTAGTCGTGGTATATTGGCCATATACCACAAACCCCAGAGGTGCCTTGTTGCTATTATTAACTGGTTACCAACGTAATTAGAACAGTAAAAATAAATGTTTTGTCATACCCGTGGTATACGGTCTGATATACCACAGCTGTCAGCCAATCAGCATTCAGAGCTCGAACAACCCAGTTTATAATCCCTAGTAATTCACTGTGTGACAGCTTATTGCTATTATATGTCAATGTAGACATCCATCCGTTCTTATTCTTGACTGTTCTATGATCTCGTGCAGGTTACTAAGGATTACAGACTGGCAAGGGTTTCTGGTCCATTGATATATAATGACATTACCACTGCTTCATCGGAAGGGAGGAAGGACATTTGGACAGAGAGAGAAAGAGACTGGGATGAAGCAGAAGCTATTGACACAGGTCAGAATAGAGCGCCTAAGATCTGATTTGTGCTGCTGCATTAAAGGGGCACTCTGCTCTGTCCGACTGGGCTTGGGGGGCCATCTTGATCTAAAACTCCACAACACCATCTTTCCCATCATTGGCAATCCTCCTATTTTGACATTCTGTTCCTTCTCCCTTTTTTGGTTAGTTGCTTCGTAGTGGTTGGATGCATGACGAGGGCTTGTCTCTCACCCTCACGTAGAAACATTGTATGGGGAATAAGAGGAAGTTAATTCAGTGACATTTTCTATGAACTACCTCATTATGACATTTTATTGTGCCTCATACTATAGACAGTGCATTATAACACTTGTTATAAGCGGTGCAGGACTCCTTATTACAGCCTTTGTAAATGCATACATATCTCTAAATGCATTCGGAAAGTTTGACACAGTTAGTGGATACAGAGATCAGCCACAATACCACAATACACACAATACAACCACAATACAGGACCTACGGAGGCCATTTTGAAAACAGCTTACTCAAGCCTAGATGAGTCATTCAAGCAAATGTCAGGCTCAGCATGGATGGATAGAGTGGTTTTATAGTTTTGTTTTAAGAGTTGTTTTTGCATTACAAAAGCTTTCACACTGTAGAGCATGGTTTTATTTCCTCTCAAATTAAATCAACACACTCTTATTAAAACACCGATGCAGTGGTTTAATTTGAGGCAGCTATTTGTTTAGGTGTGCCACCATTGCGGTGAGATTATAAAGATATTTTAATGAGGCGCCAGTCTGCTAAAACAATAGCCTTGGCTGAGATGTTTTAATTAGCTTTTGGAGTTTTTGATGATACTGGATTGATACTGTCGTAAATTAATTCCTACAATCGACGTCTCTGTTGATAAAGTCTTCAGAACAAATCATATCAAGATACATATTTGTACATTCCGGAAGGTTCAAGCTGATATGGGAAACACTGTTGCTTGTCTGTAATAACACTTGACATTGATCTATCAAGATGGATTAAGTGGCTTTTTATCAAGTGTGCTTCATAACATTTAGGACCTCCCCTAGAAGACAAGTTTTGTGCTTTTAGTTGGGAGGCTGTGGTAGAATGTGCTTCTGAGAGACAGTTGATATTGACAAGAGGAAGAGTAGTCGATGCGCTGTAGAATCACAGTGGAGTTTAGTTACATGGTTTGATGCAACACTGATCCCATTGAAAGTGCATGTCTTCTGATGGTTAAATGACTAAGCTCTAACACATACAGTCTGGCAGTATGAGAGGAGTTTTTAAAAGTATTTCTGCATCTATGTTGCCAAATAACATCCATTATTATTGCGTAGTCTTTCCAATGCATTAGGGTAGTCACTAGACTAGAGAGTTTCCCTAAAATTGCATGTAGGCTTGTTCCTACTCTCCAATATCACATAAAGATGATTGAAATATAGGAGTTCTTCATTTCCCAGTGTGCAATATAATCAAATCTTTCTTTCATGTGTAGAGCATGCAGTAGCCGAGCATAGAATAACAAATCATCACCCGTCATCGTAGATTCACATTTCTGATTGTCATCATTCCAAAACATGTCATATTTTCATTGGTTGGGCTTGTGCTCCATATGTAGAATCTTAACCTCTGCAATGTATTGTGTTGTATATGTACTGCACATAAGGTCAACATGGATTTCGTCTTCAAAATTGAACTAATATAATCGTTTGGTCAGACCACTACTGGAGCCAAGCTGTGTCTGCCGACAAAGTAGCCTCCGAGTGCCAGGACTCTTCTCCCGATTGACTAGTGATTCCTGCTACCCTAAAGCATCTTGTCCTCTATCTAGATGTCCTGGTGTAACATATTTTGTCAGCAACCAACCTCTCAAGTGTCAATTATCTTCTAACCCGTATGCGTGACCACAGTCATCCAAAGACACAGTATCTGTCACCCTCAGCACTCAGATGTATTCAATATATTGATCTGATATCAAATCGATTCTACATCGGTAGTTAATTGAGAGGTAGAACACTCTACATTACCTCAACTTTACAACAATATACTGTAGCATCAGCAATGAGTTGTACATGTATGGCCATCTTAATATGGCACTTAATATAATACTTCAACTTTACAATGTACTATATTTCCTGTAGCATCCAGCAATGCGTTGTTCATTTATGACCGTCTTAATGTGGCATGTAATGCATTACATTGCACTTACTGTAGCCTCAGAAATGCCTCGTATCCTTAGGTTACTTTTCCTGTCCACAAATGCTTGAGTGGGTTCGCAGAAGCCTAAGGTTGCATGGCAACCTAGAAAAGTCAGTAGAGGTCAGGATGTGGTTTGGCTCCAGTATTGGTGTCGTCTGTCAAAGATTTGACAACCTTTACTAAACATCAAACTGTCTATGTCCACTGGCCAAGTTTGATTTCAAGGTGCACATTCTATACACCTGTAATTGAGTCTCCTCAATTCCAATTGGGCACTTAAAACGGACATTACCCAATCAGCATGTTGAGTGAAACAATCAAAGAGGCTTGGGAAACAATCTACCTCAAAAAAGGAAGGTAGAGTGGAAGTAAATATATGGAGCTGGTGAAAAGCCTGAGAACCCCACTGTGGAACAGCCCATCTCAGCCTCTGTGTCCCTCCCTCCCCCTCTCTCTCTCTCACACTCTAGGACAAGGAGGTGAATCTGGAACAGGTGCATCGGCGTATGAACAGTCTTATGGACGAGGACATGGCGCACAAGCAGATCCCCGGCCCGTCTATCGAGATCTCTGCGCTGGACATCGGCAGCATGCAGCCCAGCCAGCAGCTGGAGTCTGTGCGGAACTACCCGGGCACGGGCCTGTCTGTGAGCGCCTATCTCCCAGGGGAGGGTCATGGGGTGGGCCTGGGTCGGACACTAGCTCAGGGTCCTGGCAGCACCCTCCCCCACCACCCCCTCAGCAGCTCCACCATCCCCTCCATTCAGTGCAAACACAGAGCTCCCAACGGGGGGCTGTTCCGACAGAGTCCCGCCAAGACGCCCATGCCAATGTCATATCAGGGAGTTCCCGGAGGACCCATCCCAGAAGCCATTGAGTCCACCCACAGTACATCCATCTAATGGTGCCATCTCAACGTCACGTCTTTCCCCTCACCTGATTTTCTGGGGGATTGTTGAAAAAAAAATCGGAAGAAAAAAAATCTGAAAAGTCTACAAACGAGAAATATGAGATTTTTATTACCTGTTGAACAACCAACGTCGTCAAAAGAACAGCAAATGTTACTTGTATATATTTGTAAATACTGAGAGAACGAAGTTAAGTAAAAGTGTATTTTGAATATTCTCATTTTGGAGTTGAGTTACAAAAAAAAAAAGATATCAACAAAAAAAAGATACAAAAAAACGACTGTTTGAATGGCTTTGTCAATTTTGTTCTATATGAATAATGACGCAAATTCATTGTGATTGTTTTCTAAGTGCCGAAATAAAAGATGTCTCTCCACAGTTCATTCTTAGATGGCCATGCACCATAGAGACATAATATGAAACACCAACTGTTATGCACCACTATAACAACAACCATATCTATACAGCAGTATCAGAGGAGAATATTCCCAATAGATGGATTAATTTTGTTTGTAAAACATATACATTTTTCAAGGTGTTTTTGTTTTCCTACTTAAAAGTTGTTGTTTTTTAGGGGGTAGATCAGCTTAATATTGCAGATAGATTGTAACTTCCATCTTAAGAGTCTTAGTGAATCATTGATAAAGACTGAAACTGAAGTAAACATTGTCTTTTATGAGTTCTATATATTTTTTTAAATGGAAGGTATTTCATAGAGCTCAATTTCAGCCCTATGTTGTCAAAGGCAGAGGGAGATTTAGTGTCAGTCAGCCCCCAACACCAAACAAAGGTGGTCCTAGTGGTACTAATGGTGCCGTGTACAGCATAACATCAGTCAAACATCTCACATTGCTGAGGCCAGACCTTAGATAGGCTTACGTTAGGAGAATGTTCAAAGGAAAGCTCTAAGTGACAGAAATCATGACTGAATCATGTCCCTGCCAATGTATACCATATTTTTCCTTAGTTGTGTGGGAGGGATGTTTAAAACAGAAAAATGTTATTTTTAACAACAACAAAAAAGCTAATTTTAGAAAAATATGTGTACATTTTTTACTGAAGGATTTATTGTTGAAACATTGTATACAGTTTGTCTCCTTTCAGAGCAGTAAAGTAATTTCAACTGCAGATGGAGAAAAGTAGATATATAATATTGTTATGTCTCATATTTATCATTTGTAATGGAGTAATTATCACCAAGGTAGATGGAAGATAAAGGAGTGATATCAAAATGATGAACTATTACAGTGTAATATCAGTACAGGTGACATATCCTACTGTCTAAATACTGATGGAACTCTGTTCATAAAACCAACAGCATTTTCCCATCGATTAACCTGTGCACTTTGCAGAGCAGCAGTTCACATTACATTTCCAACTAAGGATGAACTGCGAAACTTTACCAAGACTTTCGTAAGTGCAATTAAAATGCAATTATGTCCTGCAGTATACTTTCTGTTTCTTTCCTTTAGCCTGTCATACTGAAGAACTCATTGCCAGGAAGTGAGATAGTGAATGTCAGATTGTTTTGTCGTCCGCCACATCCTATATGCACAACACATTGTGTACCAGGAGTACTGATAGCTGATCTCATACCAATAAAACGGTTTGTCCTTACCTCTTGGAAAATGTGACAAATCACCCCGCAGAGCCATTGAAGGGAAGCAAAGAACGAGAAGGAAGGGATGTCATGAGAATAAACAGAGGTATCATACCGCAAAGTGTTTCGCGTCACCCGTTTTCCCGCTGATGCTTTTCAAACGAAATTGGAGAGGTTGTAAACCTGTAAATACTGTGAACCAAAGTGATCTCATTTTACACTGTGTTCTGCATACAACCCGTGCCTCTGATCCGCTAACAGTGGTGAAAGGGAAGTCCCACATTATTGTAAGGGTGTAGTGTGTTTCACTGCCTTACTGTGTACCCCCCCCCCCCCCCCCCCCCTTACTGTATCAATGCCCACATCACAAGATGAAAGAAAATATTATTTAAAAAAGCTATCATATCATACAGTCTGTAATAGTACATCTAGGGAGACTCATTTAATTTATGAATATGCTGCTTGGAGTTTCTTAATCTTTAATAAAGACATTTGGTTTACATATGTTTGTTTCTTCGATTCATAGGGCATGTGACGATGGATAACACACACAATACATTTGTTCTATAAACCGTTGGTCCTATATTCATTTCTTTTTAAACATTTTGAAAACATTAGCACTGATCTTTGAAAACCATTTATAGTGCCAACAACTGACATCATAGAAGTCATGTCTGCCTTGCTTGACTTGCTTGAAATAATGTTCTCAGTATGATACAAATTCAAACCGTCCCTTTGAGGTGGTGCTCCAACAGATAGCTGAGAATTGCAGAATAGACCAACAAGTATCTCTTCATCACAACAGGGCCTTTACTTAAATGTGTAAATCTCCTGTCGTCGTCGACAACAACAGACTGCATGTTAATAGGCATCATCCCAGTGACATCGGATGTTCCAGAGATAAAACACAGTGATATCAGAGGAGCTGGGGAGGTCGGCATTGGCATGCAGTGTGTGTGCTGCAGGCTGAAGAGACGACATGCCCTTACATTTTCAATGTATTGTATACAATACTGAAATAAGGCACTGTATAAAGTATTCCTTACTATAAATAGTGTGCGAGAAAATACTGTACTTCCTTCTCTTAAACGCTTTCTAAAAGCCCAGCTTTTAGCTTATTCTATTATCAAATGCTCACAATAGAGGACATTTCAGCCACCTCCTTACCCAATCAAAGATTCATTTTAGATAGCGGGGTTCTCTTTCTGTCAGTTTACACATGAATGGTACCTTTCCCTTTCAGCAGGTGTGAGGAAGGGGTTTAATCACATGGCCAAGCGTGCCATCCGCTGACACGACCCAAGCACCGACGTTGAAATACATCCCGTATACTCTGAGTGTACAAAACATTAGGAACACCTTCCTAATATTGACCTGCCCTCAGAACAGCCTTAATTCGTTGGGGCATGGACTCTACAAGGTGTCGAAAGTGTTCCACAGGGAAGCTGGTCCATGTTGACTCCAATGCTTCCCACAGTTGTGTCAAGTTGGTTGGATGTCCTTTGGTTGGGGGACCATTCTTGATACACACGGGAAACTGTTGAGCATGAAAAACACAGCAGTGTTGCAGGTCTTGACAATTTTAATATTTTGTCTTGCTGGTAAATCTATGTAATGGAAAGAGTTCATAATGTTTTGTACACTCAGTGGATATAACAGAGGATCAGAGAGAGAATCTCTTCTCTCTCCCCTCTAGAGAGAGAGGAGAAGGCGAGAGATCTCGATCTCTCTCGAGAGATGGCTCGCTCTCTCGAGAGATCTTATCTCTCTCTCTCTCTCTCTCTCTAGAGAGATCGAGTCTCTCGATCGATATCTCTCGCTCTCTGATGCTCGAGCGTCCGCTCTCCATAGGAGAGCTGATAGATATCTCTCTCTCTCTATCTCGATTCATGCTACTCGTCTCTCTCTCTCTCTACTCTCTCTCTCTCTCTCTTCTCTCTCTCTCTTCTCTCTCTCCTCTCTCTCTCTCTCTCTCTTCTCTCTCTCTCTCTCTCTCTCTCACTCTATGAAGTGCCATTGAGGTCAGAAGACTTATTTTAGAAGGGAGACCTCTCCACAAATAGAAAAGTCACTTTGATTGTGGCACCAGGTTTTTCTTTATTCAGTAGAAAGTGTCACTTTGCCTTATGTTGCAGGAGTTAACGGTGTCGTTGCCTGTAGTTGTAGACACTGACTTCATAACACTGTGGGTTGTCTTCATCTGATATCATTTGCCAAGAGTGTGCAAAGCTGTCATCAAGGCAAAGGTGGCTACTTTGAAGAAAGTATTTTTGATTCTTTTGGATACTACATGATTCTATATGTGTTATTTCATAGTTTTGATGTCTTCACTACTATTGTACAATGTAGAAAATAGTAAAAATAAAGAAAAACCTTTGAATGAGTAGGTGTGTCCAAACTTTTGACTGGTAGTGTATGGGCTCCCGAGTGGCGCAGTGGTCTAAGGCACTGCATCTCAGTGCTTGGGGCGTCACTACAGACCCCCTGGTTCGATTCCAGGCTGTATCACAACCGGCTGTGATTAGGAGTCCCATAGGGCGGCGCACAATTGGCCCAGCGTCGTCCGGGTTTGGCCGGTGTAGGTCATTGTAAATAAGAATGTGTTCTTAACTGACTTGCCTAGTTAAATAAAGGTAAAAAATAAATAAATAAAATGTAATACAAGTGTTCTACGCTACAGTGTACATATGGCTTTAGTGCTTGTTACCCCTAAACATCTTCACATTTGCACACATTAGTAGTGGTATTTGACAGATTCACCTGCAGCCTCTGGCTCAGCCCCTGGAGTTTATTGTAGATAATATACCTCATTACAGATTTATCTCAAACAGCTGGGAGAAATAAACATTTTAATTCATCTCTCCCTAGCAGAGTTGTGAGGAGGTGTTAATGGGTCATTACATGATATGTTCTAAACCTGTCTCCTTCCCTATAAGCTGACTGGGGAAGCCATTAGCTCCAACCAATGGGGAAACCACAGCAAACTGAGGGGCGCGGAAATGCAGCGTTACAGCGTGATAGAAATTCAAAGGCGGAGACTGCATTCACTTTAAACGCTGCATATGTCTGCTCAATAGGAAATAACCTTAAAATGTATATTGCGCAATCTTCAACGATTTAGCGGGACAGATTGAACAGAGCCCTAACTTAGCTTTGGCAGGAATAGTTGACAACCAAAATGTGATATTTCTTGCAAGACTGTATTATCTTCTGTCTCAACACTATGTTTTCCTTTAGATCACTTTATTTACTATCACATCTTGTCATCTTCATAAAGCAATGAATGCTGGGTTATTTTTTAAAGACAAACTCCTTCCCCTGTACACTACAGGCTGGTGACCCCTGGATGAGGACAGAGGACAGAGGCTGGGCTGTTCTGTCTGATCTAAAAGCA